ATGTAGTATAGATAACATATTGAAGGTGTTCCATATTCACTTCCATGTTGGCTAATTCATTCATTGGAACTTAAGTGACTTGACTAGTAGCTAAATGGTTGCCTAACATGGAGTACTACATTTGAGTTTGGGATACAACACCCAACTGTATTTTTTTATAAACCAGTTGATTCAGTTTACTAGGTTGCCTTAAATATTGAACTTGTGGAGCCAATTGAGTCGAACAGACTAATTGAATTGGTTGTTGGAAGGTTTTTTGGTTGAACCATGTTGAGCCCACCATCTGGTGCTCAAATGGTAAAACCTTGGCTCGCTAAGTTTCACAAGAAATTTTGCAAGATACGGTGTCACTAACAGATGATTAGAAAGTTATATAAGTTAAACTTTATATAGTAAGAGTAAGGTGCACCTAAAAAACCCAATATAAATAATTATTTCGAAGCTAAAAAACGCTCCAACATATCATCTTGACATCGATACGTATAAATATGAAAGAAAAATGGATTTCAAGTCTTAAAAATAATGCACATCATCTTGTAACATATTACTTAGACCATCAATTTTCAAGATTTTTTAGTGCTCATAGATATGTTTAATTTAGACAATTTTTTGGAATTCAAAATTTCATAAATAGGGTTAGAAATACATTTTTAGGTTATTGTGAGTTTGTAACGTCAAAATTGCATCTTTTAGTAGAGTTTAAGGGTGCGCTTTACTTTGATTGTTTAATGTGGACACCTTATATAACCTCACTTAGTAAGTATTTTGGGTGAGAAAAGGATTTCTCAAAAAGAAATTCCCACCAAGTATTTTGGCTTTTTGGATGACAAACTTTTCGATAGTGGGCTTGTCATACCACTAAATGCTTTTGCTGATAAAAATTATAATTAAAATATCACTAGTTGGATTACGTATGTTGCAAGTAAGAATGAAATAAGCAATTACGTAAATAATCATGTAAATATGTGATAGAAAACCACAATGAAATATATAACACCAACGCAATAAAACAATGGCATTGTTGTCATTGTCTATGATGGAAATATATGCACTGTTTTTTAGGATCTTTTAAAATTTTATTTTGAAAAAAATAAGAAATTTGTCATAAACTATTTACAAACTTTGAAATTTTTTATGGAAAACAACATCAAGTATTTTTATGAACTACACATTATTTTTAAAATACATAGTATATTATAGTTATTTCTTTTAATAGTTAAGAAAACATAATTTATTTTGATATTTTAAAATATTAAATTCATCACACTTTACTTTTTTGTAGGTTGCAATTAAATGACGCGATCATGAAATTATGGCATTCATGGATGGTTAGTATGAAAATCAATATTTAATAACTTTTTATAAATCTTAGATTAAGGAAACAGTAATCATAAGTGAATTTAAAGTTTATGCTATTAAAATGAATGAAAAAATAGCAATAAATCGAATTTATAATATAAAAAAGAAAAGAAAATAAGATATTTTAAAATGTTTCAAGTTTTAAAATAGGTGAATATTATATTCTACTATGGAATCTCTCTCTCTTCCTCTCTCTCCAATCAACTTCCTTTCCCTCTTCAAATACACTAAGTGTTAATTGACTAATACTAATTTCCATGTTCAGATCAACTTGATTTCATTTCAAAATTCCAATAGTTTGAGAGCACATGCATTAGATGTTTTTATAAAATTCTGAAAACTTAGAACTACAAATACCCTGTTTAATTTGAATGTCTCCAGACAACTAGATATTTGAACTAAATATTATATGAATTAAATGCTTGACAATTTTCATTGTTTTTTAAGTTTATTACCCAACACATCATACCTACTGGTATTTCACAGGCGCACACATACATGCAGATATATGCAAATTGATATATACATAGCATGTAAATATGCATATACTTTATGTCTGAGTTTGAATTGCTAGTTTCTCTGGTAACCATGTCTCATAGAACTTTAATGTCATAAGCATATGCATCATAAATAGAAAATTCTACCCAAAAGTCCTACATTAACCTAGACGCCAGTTCATCTTACGATCTGTCGTCCTCCAAGAAGATGCATATGCAAACAATACATATAGAAAAGTGCGATCAATAATGTAACTGTGCCGAAAATATATCATATAATTTTAAAAGGAAACCAAGAGCCACTAACTTTCGAGATAGTATATTGCAAATGATAACATATTAGTATTAGTCCTAAGGATCACTCACTTGCAAGGCATTTTTTAATTAACAATACCATATTGACATACAAAAATGGCATAAAAATAATATTCAATATTTTTATGGATCGGCCCCCATATTTTCTTTTTGTCTCTTTGGTTTGAATATTAGCTCTCAATATTTTTGGTAGCATGTATTGACTTGAAAGAATGATAAATAGAACTTCCATGGCTTAATATAGCTTTACTCTAGGAGTCCTAACCTTATTGTTTCTCCCACCATACTCCTTAATTCTGGTTTTATACAGCCTAACTCTAGTAGTCCTAACCTTATTGTTTCTCGCACCATAGAGTCCCTTCTTATTTTCTCATGAAAGGGTCCCGTTCTATTTTTAAGACACATGTCCACCTCTTAACTCTGATTTCATAATGTAGTATAGATAAATAAGATTTCCTGTATAGAAAAAATATTCAGTTTCCAAGACGTGCAAATCTCTTCCCTTCCTTTTTTTTATCTCATCTGCGCATAAGCTTTCAAAAAAAATATCTGATCTCTCCTAAAATAATAAGATTTCTTATATCGAGAAAATATTCAGTTGTCAAAAAAATATCTGATCTCTCCTAAAATAAGATTTCCTGTATAAAGAAAATATTCAGTTTCCAAGACGTGCAAACCTCTCCCCTTCCCTTTTTTTCTCTCATCTACACATAAGCTTTCAAAAACACATCTCATCTCTCCTAAATAAGATCAAATCTCTCCCCTTCCCTTTTTTTTCTCTCGACTACACAAGCTTTTAAAAAAATATCGCATCTCTTCTAAAATAAGATCAAATCTCAAGATTCTGTATACCCATATATATCTTTTATTTTCAAGTCCCTATCTGCACACGCATTCTCTTTCTCCACCTTTTTCTCTCTCTCTCTCTCCTATACATAAGTTTTCATAAAAATATCTCATCTCCCCTAAAATATCTCATACATTAATCTCTCAATCTCAATATTTTATATATCCATATATGTCTTTTATTTTCGAGTTTCTATCTCTACATACATTTTCTCTCTCCACCTTTCCCTATCTCTCTCCCCTACCTATGAGCTTCCATAAAAATCTTTCATTTCTCATGCACTCTCTCTTCAGATCTCTTTCTCCCTTCTTTTTCTATTCATCTCCACCCAACTCCCTCCCTTAACTCTAGCTTATTATACTCTAACTCTAGGACTCATAACCTTATTGTTTCTCTGATCATAAGGTATTTTTTTATTTTTACGATACGTGTCCATCCCTTAACTCTAGCTTAATAATGTAGTATGGATCCGTTTTTTTATGCGGCCAAGCCTGCATATGTAGAAATGCAAGTCTATTAATAATCTATTTTTTAGATGGATTTTGGGACTTAATTTTTAAGGACATGTAATCTCTTACGTGGAGATCATGAATACTAAATAAATTTTAAAAACTTTGAATAATAATTATAGTAGAAAAATATATGGAAAAATAAATAAATTTTTAAAAATAAAAATAATAACTATAGTAAAAAAAAGCAATTTTTTGGATGGATTTTGGGACTTAATTTTTAAAGACATGTAATCTCTAACATGGAGATCCTGAATATGAAAACTAAATAAATTTTAAAAACTTTAAATAATAACTATAGTAAAAATATATATAAAAAAATAAATAAATTTAAAAAATTAAAAATAAAAACTATAGTGAAAAAACATTTGGACCGCTTGTTTCCATGGTTTGTAGATGCTATGCTTCCGGACTCTCTCTCTCAAAGTGTAACCACTGCAGCCATCTGAACATCGGATATAACGGGGACAATGCTAAGAACGACAACGAACGAACGAACGAACGAAATTTCGTGGAAATGGAGCGAATTTATTTATTTCTTTACTCTCGCACTGCAGCACTATCGGAGCCACTTTGTTTGGACTTTTCAAAGACGGTGCGCGTTGGATGGTCGTTTTAAGCTGTGTGCGCCACACCGCTCTAATTTCGTGGAAATGGAGCGAATTTATTTATTTCTTTACTCTCGCACCGCAGCACTATTGGAGCCACTTTGTTTGGACTTTTCAAAGACGGTGCGCGTTGAATGGTCGTTTTAAGCTGTGTGCGCCACACCGCTCTCCACGTCTCTCATTCTAATCCACCAACGACTTACTACGGCTAAAAATAAATTAAAAAATAACATAAAATAAGAAAACTATTGTGCTGCTTGGTTTGATGTCTGAACGGCCCTGAGCCTGTGTGTAGACCAAATCTTACCTTTTTTTTTTTTAAGTCAAGCTGACCAGGCCTAGCCGGGCTGCCGTGAGGTTTGCGTAAGGTGTCCATCTTATATTATTGAGGTAAGGTACACCTCAAAACTATCTTGAAAATGCATTTCGGTGCCATAAAGCCTTGGTGATATGAAAATCTACCGTTGCTCTCAATTATGAAATTGAAAATTTCAAAAATAGTGGCTTACAAGCAAATCTATAAATAAATACTTAAAAATCTTGAAAATAGACTGTTGAAATAATATGTTAAAAAATAAAAAACTTTTAATACTAGAAGTCTCAATTTTTTCTCTTTTTTTTATGAATCTTGTGATTTAGATGAATGATGGAATTGAGAGTTTTCAGCATAGAAATAACCTTTTCTAACCGTTTTTAAATTGCACAATATAAGATTGACACTTTTTTTTTTTGGTGAGTAAGATTGACACCTTATATTAAACTTTTTTTTTTTTTTTTTTTTTTTAAAAAAATTTAATTTAAAGAATGATCCTTTTTTTTTCTTTTGCCTTGTCTCTCTACTATTGACCACGTCCACGTACAATTCCAGATAACGTTTCTCTCTCTTCTCCCACTTGCTCTCTCTCGCGCATTTACACCACACGTTTCTCTGTCCACCTATTCTACGCAATTATCGCTCCCCTCTTATATTAGTTCTTCACTGTTGACCGCACTGAACTCTTTAAAGGAAATAACGTACTTTGAACGCGCTCACGCTATATTTCTTTTAGTGTAAAACGCGCATCTCCTATATAAACGAAGACAAAAAATCCTTTTAACATTAGGGTTTGGTTTCAGAACGTTTCTGCAGCTCAAGTCTAAAACCAGTTTCTCTGTTTATCCAGGTATGCTTCCTTTTTATGTTACCATCTCTTTTTTTCCTGTTTGTTTCCATTTCATTTGATATGAATCGACGGATTTATTACTGAAAATTTTGCAATAAATTTTGGCTTTCTAGTGATCTAGGGGTTTCCATTTCATTTGATATGAATCGATGGATTTATTACTGAAAATTTTGCAATAAAACTCGGCTTTCTAGTGATCTAAGTTCATAAAAATGGGTGATTTGAGGTTTATGTGTTTTATCTATCCTGATATCCGTATACTTCGTCTTTTCATGTTTTATGTCTATGAAAGTGATGTTTTTGTGCCAGATCTGTGGAATTATGAATAATTTCCACCCGATCTAGGTGTTTCTTTTCTTGCTGGTGATAAAGATCATATAAGGGTTTTAATTCCTATATTATTCTTTCATATCTGCACTCCTTAGGAGATCTACCATATTTGATAGGAACGATTTTTTCTTATGATTAATTGCTATGTTGTTGTTTGTGTGTTCATCAGATGAAATATTTGACTTGCAGCAATGAGCTTTAGGATATCTAGATGGGTTTTCTGTTTAAATTGATGACGATGCTCATACGATTTGACCTAAAACAATGAATCTTACATATTTTTAGTTATCAAAATTAAATTGATATGGATGCTCTCCGATCTTCTCCTGAATGATAAAGCATGCAGTGGATCTCATTTTTTGTCGAGTTAATTTGCGACTGAATATCTGACTTTCACAAAAGGGAAAAACCCCTCTTTTATTGAAATTCTAATTGAATATGTTTGAATCATGAAATTTGGGGTGGGATTTAGCAGATCCTTGGCCGAAAGTTTTATGAAACACTGTGAACTCAATAAATTTGGCCAAATTCCTCATGAGAATAGCGTCATAAATGCATCTAAGATTGGTAGACAACAAGTGTTACTGAAACCTGTTGTGATTTGGCCTAAAGGAAAACCAGTGCATATTGATCATCTGTTCATTATTTTATAGAGAGATTGATATCTTAATTTAGGATAAAATTCACCCTATATCTCAGAAGTGATGATTTTTCTTTTTTACCTGCTCAATGATCAATCTTGATTGTGTAAAATCAGGCTTTCTCTTCTTGCTAGTAATCGTGTTCTTATTTGACATCCAAGAATTATATCTTGTATGTAAATACTGTAAGATGGTTAATTTCATCCTTGTTTCTTATTACTTCTTGCATTGTGTTTAGATTTGACAATGAGTCGTCCCCATGATTGTCGCCGTCCCTTCTTTGCCTTCGGAAATCCCTTTAAAACGATGCTCCCCAAGCGATCTTCTCTCTCACCAAAACTTGCCCCCTTACTGAATTCCTTCGAGCAAAGCTTAGCCGAAAGAATAAAGAGATTAATCCCAAAGGAGAAGGGAGATGCCTTGACTCTTTCATGGATGAAATTGGCTATAGAATCTTTAGCTGAAACCCACACTGATGTGAAGACCCTCATTAACGACCTTCAATTCCCGGCATCTGAGTGGGATGATAAATGGATGGATGCATATTTGGAAGACAGCGGCAAGTTACTTGACATTAGCACGGCGTTGACATCTCAAATCTCTAAACTTGATCAGGGCATGCTTATGCTTAACTATAGCTTACATTTGTTAGATTTATCAGTTGGATTTCCTTCAACCGATAAGATGTTACGAGCCCGTGATTCCCTTCTTGAATGGATGTACCAAAGTGGTTCGAAAGCATTGAGGACTGCATCCCCGAGGAACTCGAAGCTTGAACATTGTTCTGGGTTATTACAGGGAATGGCTGGATCTCTATGTTCAACCAAGTTGAAATCATCTACAAAAGGGAAGGTTTTATTAAGAGCCCTGTATGGAGTTAAGGCCGAGACACTTTTTGTTTGCTGTGTTTTCACAGCTGCCCTCTCTGGCACGGCAGCACCTTTAATGGACCTTTGTGTTCCTGATGAGTTCTTGTGGTCTTCATCCTTCAATGACCTTAAAACAAGCATTAATGGTGACATTAGGAGATTGTACTCCGAAGGATCAGTTACCATTATTATTAAAGAAATGGAAGCAGTCGATGGCTGTGTCATCAACCTTAATGCCATGATTGAAAATGTGTCTCGTATTTCAGATGTTGGTGAGAAAGAAGCTACTTCTTTAGGGAAGTCGGTGAAAGAGTTGCGGGAAAGTGTGGACAAGCTTGTGCATGGTCTTGATCTTGTATCGAAGCAGTTGCATGGTTTCTTTCAGATTGTGCTCGGTGGGAGGGATGCTCTTCTTTGTAACTTGAGAGTGTCTGATTCCCAACATGAGCGGAACGAAGCTGACGTATTTGAAAGATGTCAGCAATGAAAATAAGACGGTTTGTAAAGTAGAGCGTGTGCGATTTGGTTGGTGATAGAACAATTTATAGGTTATAGTGTCTTCTTATGGGCTACGGTGTGAGTGTTGTGTGAGTTCTGGTAACCTTGAGGTTTGTTTCTCGGGAAGTATTTCATGTAAATATTGTATGTTAATTAAACTACTACTTTAAATTCTTTTATTTTCCCCTTTCTGTTCTTTTTCTACTAGAGAATGTCAAATTTATGCCTTCAACCGATTGTTTGTTGAACCGGTATTCCACGGCTTCAAATCCAGGCGGCGGTTTCCATAGGTATCCGGAAAAACAAAATAAAGAGGAAAATGAAACAAAAGAAGAAAAAATTGCATTGCATTTTCAAGTTTTCTTAGTTAAGAAACAAGGAAAACCACAAAATCATTCATTCTCATTTCTTTGTTTAACAATGGTTGAATATGTTTATATTTATATTTTTTATGGATCTAAGCACGGTTTTCTTACGAGGAAAATTGTGGGTGTTAGGGGATGCATTTCTACATTTGTGACCCCCCAAGGCATAAAAGGCATTGCTCTATCTTAAGTACGTATGCAATTTGGGTGGTCCTTTTAAAAAAACAAAAAAAGTTAGAACTAATGGTCTAATTTTTTTTTTCATGAAATCATCTTTTTTGTTTTTTGAAATTTTATTTTATTTTTACATATTCACGATCTACGTGTTAGAGATTGTGTATTCCTTAAAAATTATGTCCAAAATCCATCTCAAACATGGATTTTTAAGAGGGGAATCATTTCTACATATGAGTCCTAGGGCTCATAGAAAACATATCCTTAGAGACCTCCAATTTTTAAGCATTAAATTTTAGTCAATAGGGGTTTCCATTCATAAAATCAGAGCTCATAAAAGGCGATCTGGATCTAAATTGCTTGATGCATATTGTTGATTGGTGGGACCGATCCGATTTCAAATTATATATCGTGAAGTGGTTGGTTCTAAAAAATTGCCCAAAAGTAAGAATCCAGCATGAAAATTCCAAACATACACAAATTTGAAATTGCAAAGTAGTCGTAGTTTTGTGGAGGGCCTTCAAAAAAGGAGATTTTGAAATAATTGTGAAAGAAAATGGGGGAATCACAAAGGAAGGTATGGGGTTTCTCATCCATGATGCTTTTTCATTCAAAAATGATTTTCGGGTTATTGTAGATCAAAGAGAGAAAATTTGGCGCAAATTTGGAGATTTTGGTGGAGAACCTATAGAGAAACCAATTTCTTTGAACCGAGTTTGTCAGAACCGATTTCTTTGAAAGAGTTTCCCTATTCCGACAAAAACGGGCAGGTCTTGGAAAGCCGATCCGAGCGGGCGTCCCCATCGATTTCGATGCGGTTGGGGGGGTTTCAAGCCATATATTTTTAAAATTCTGATTCAAATTAAACTTCTTGTCACTTGTTCAATCCAGTGTTCGTAAAATAGAACCAGAACGGTTAACCAGACATAGGCCTGGAAGTAGTTTAACCAGCCTAACCGGTAAACTGGTCGTTTTAACCATTCTAACCGGACAAGTCCTGGACAGTCAAAAAAATGTTAAAAAATTATAAAAAAAATACAAAAAAATTTCTACTAAACTATGAAAAACATATAAATAATGGTTCAAACAAAACATATTCAAATGAAGTTGAAAATTAATGAAAAATAGATTTAAAACCATTTTATATTTTTTAATAGCTAAGTTAAATTTTTTTTAAAAAGGATGGAAAAATATAAAAGTGAGTATTAATGACCAACACAACCATGATGTAAATAATATTTAAAAATGCATCACAAATCAAATTTCTTATTTTTTAGAATTTATATATATATATGTTTCTTTTTCTTTTTAAAATATACCGATTGATCACCTTAACCGGCCAGATCGGACGATTTTGCAAACAATGGTTCAATCATTCACATTTTTCACGCATCTTCCCCTGGTTCAATCATTCACATTTTTCACGCATCTTCCCCTGGTTCAATCATTCACATTTTTCACGCATCTTCCCCTTGCCGACATTCACTGAATCGGGATGAAAAAGTAATCACTTTACTGCTTGTTTGCTCATGTCTGCGCTAGTTTGCCTAGTGAGTTTCGCAATAAAGTTGCATGAGGTGTCAACTTATACTATACAACTAAGGTGCACCAGGTTGTTCTGGTTCAGGAAATCCGTATGATGACAAAAAAATCTATTTTGACCCCTAATTATGAGATTAAATGTTCCAAATATAGTATAGATTAAGCAAAGCAATATGTAATTGAAAATCTTGAAAATGCATGATCTGGATAACATATTACAAGATGTATTATTTTTAGAATTTGAAATCCATTTTTTCTTTAACATCCATGTATCTCGAAGTTTAGATGATTAATTTAAGAGTTTTTTTTATATCGAAACAATATTTTTAGGTTGTTTTTTGAGACCTACTTATTTTGAGACCTCCAAAATGCATGTAAGGCCGACATCCAAGGAAGCGCTAACCTTGATCTTTGATTTCCTGTTCTTTCTTATGTATGATGCTATGGAATGAGCATGTAAGAGCCTGTTTGATATTCGGAAACTTTCATAAGTGGTCCTACTAACTCCTACTAATGTGTTTGGCTTCACCTCGTGGAAGCTCCAAAGTGGGAATGCGGCATTCCATGCAAGCCTTTTTAAGGTGAAATCTACCTGTTTTGTGGATGCCGGCCCTTCCATCATGAAGGATGGAAGGGGAAGCCTCCATATTTGTGTACCATCCAATGTAGAAAGCCAATATAGAACGTCAATAAAATTGACATCCAAAGATATCAGGGATAACTTCCACCCATTCACCAGAACTCTACAAATGGTAAACAATATTTTTGACATTTGAATGTTCCGGGCACTGATATCACCTCAATACTGTCCAATGCTCCAGTCATAATGCATATAAAAACCTAATTGCCAGCCGTTCAACAAAACGCAACAGGAAATTGAAATACAAATCAGCTAACAATATGGTTGCTAGAACCATGATGCAGCCTAAACCCCCAATATTACAACAGCCACTGTATATACCACCCCACCGAGAGATCCGAAGCACTTGACTATAATTAAAACATACCAAACAGAGCCCACTCAGAAGCCATAGGCCATGGTGCCCATTGGGCAAATAACCAATCGATATATACCTCCCCCACCTACAGCATCACCAGGATGCAAGGGTATCATCATATAATTAATAAAGAGAAACTCTAGGCTAGCCAACAAGAAGGTCCAAAGTTGGGTCCAGATAAATCAAACCACACTGCTAGACAACAAATTCGAAACAGTCCAATGTGTGCCACCGATTACTCTCCCAAAACCACTAGAAATAAATCCCGATGCCCATAACATAGATCTACTCTTGCAGAAGGCCAGAAGCAATCCAGTCAAAATAATTAGTTCCCATACATGTCAAAACATGCATCAATGATCTAATAAAAAATGTCATTGACAAAGTAATGCAACACAGCTTAGAAATCTCATGGAACATCAAACAATACCTGTGCGCCTTCATAAATATATCCCTATGGAGAATTCAGCAGGTCTCTCAAAACCACTACAGCTAAATCACATTGATAGAACTCAGCAGGTCTCCCAGAACCACTAGGAATAAGTCCCGATGGCCACAGAATGGATCTACAGACTTGCACGAGTGCAGATTCAATCCAGTCAAAATAACTCGTTCCCATACATATCAAAACATGTGGCAATGATCCAATAAAAGTTGTAACTGATAAAATAATGCAACACAAAGCACACAAGAAATCCAATAATCTCAAGGAACATCAAACAATGTTGTGCGCCTCCATTATTGCCTCCAATAAGACCATCACATGAAACCTAAGGGCACAAAATTTTCAGAACTGCGCCAATACTCGTGAAAGCAAGCCTCCCGGAAACAATATCAAATCATACCAACCCAAAAAAAATTTGATGAGGGTTATCCAATAATTCAAACCAATCAAACCCATGAACCAGGTTGATATCGAAAGCACGAACCAACTTTTGTTGTAGGAGCACGGCAGTATCCAGCAATGTTTCGTTCCCAAAATCAACCAAGAGGACCACCTATAATCACACTTCGCAAAGAATGCAGACATTGATCATTATCGCACCTAATGAAAGGTGGGACAAATATGGGGCATTTATTATCCCAAAACCCGACGACCATCTGTGAATCCATGGTTTGCAATAAGCACTTCAACCTGTTGCCTATCACGGAAGCAATGCCACACCTAGTGCTTGAACTCATCAAATCAGCTGCACATGAGAACGCCTTTCCAATTTGCTTTGTTCCCCTAAAATATTGAACAAATTGCCGAACTCCATCACCACATCTCAAGATAACCACCTTCTATCAGCATCAAGTTGATTGCAAATTACCAGGGAATTATCTTGAATCTTGGATTCTTCAAAAAAAAAAAATTCTTGAATCTTGGAAACATGATCCAGCAAACTGAACAGAAATAATCCAATAGCATAACCATAAGAATTACATGGGCCAACAGAAGCAATGCAATAGCTTAGGCATTGGCGTCACAAAAGCCAACATCACCTATGGATACCATAATTACACTTCATTCGTCGGCACACAAGGGCACTCGATAAAATCAGGTCACAATGATCTGTAACCAACCACAAGAAAAACCCGACTTTTTTTTTTGTTTGAACAAAAGAACACCTCTTCAACAACTTCACTGAACAACATTGTTAAGAGAAATAAAGTCATAATGTAGCCCGAGCAGTGCAATGGAAATCCGCCAGCAATAGTTAAACTGCAAGGAAACACCAAAAAAAAAACCAGAGAAGGATTGAAAGGAGATAATAGGAAAATGAAAGGAGATAACAAGAAAATTGGGAGACACAATTACATCATAAAAGAGAAGGCCCTAGCATATTGTAACCAGGCCAAACATACAGAGATTCAATCATCTTACAGAGTTTAGATCAGCCTAGATCCTTAGAATGCACATTCTAGTAAGGACTCAAGTACACTCTGAAATAAATTTAAAAAGCATAAACAGGAACTTTATAAATTTGAGTAAGACTAAGAAACCGAAACAAACAAGAACACCCAAGAAAATTACAAAAAATTATAGTTTCCTTCAAAAAGACCCAAAAACTTACTATAATTACAAGACATAAAATCAATAGGTCTGTTAAAAAGATCACAGAAATTCAGAAATTAAAAACACATACGAAACCCTAAACTTACACAAAGGCAAGGCAATCGATGTTTCAGTTATCTTATCTTGCTCAAATGGATCACGAAAATGCAGAGTAATCCTTTGTCACCAGAAGAGTGAGCATCATGCTAGAGCAACTGAAACAAACAAACAGATAAGCCAAGACTCCATACATACAAGCGCAAGCAGGATATTGATGAGGTATCACCATTACTAAAGATTGGATATGATTCTGAACTTCAATAAAGACTATGCCACAATCTCAATTCATCTTCCAAAACTCTAGCAGATTCATTTCTCAATTCATGGATGGATACAACATACCATGGAGTGCTGGATCAAAGAGGCAACATCACACTATACATTGATTTACCAATATACAACGGCTGTTACGGGGCAAATCAGTCAAAAGAAAAACCTATATAAAAGGAACCGCCAGTACATAAATAAGAGAGGAACTGGACATCACCACTGTATCCCATCTCTTGCATCTCCAATTTCTGAAAAACCAATGCATATCCAGTATCCTATCTCTTGTATCTCCATTCTGAAAAACCAATGCATATCCAGTATCCCATCTCTTGCATCTCCATTCGGAAAAACCAATTCATATCCAGGTTGACTTTTCATCCTTGTCCCATCAAAATCTAGAGAGATCACAGCCTTGATCAACTACCCAAAGATAAATACAAGAAAGTAATAAATGAAACCCTCACTGAACAACCCAAACAACTGCAATTCACATAGGCCAGGGCAAGAGGCACAGATCGAACCGTATATCACTTTGTAAGAAATTCTAGTTAATAACCCTGCGCGCACATTCCCATTGCATTTGTGTTGGGACACCTTATCCATAGAAGAATTGTAATGAGATGAAGAGGATGAAGAGGGTGGAGTCTTAATTGTCCAGCGAACCATGTATTCAATCCCAATATTTAACACGGATAAGAAGTGGCTACGAAATAATATTTTTTGAACAATTTGTATATCAAGATACAAGTTATGTATCGTACTAATTGATAATAGAAGCAGTGAAAACATTGTATCTAAAGAGAAGGTGGCTAAACTTCAATTAAATGAACATATGCACCCACGCCCATACCACATCCAGTGGTTCAATAAAGGAGGTGAGGTACCAGTTCTTACTCGTTGTTTAATCTCTTTTTCCATTGGTGCGAATCAGAGTTTAAAAAAACGTCGAGTCGAACTGAACTCACCCCGTTCGACTCGGGAATCGACCATAACGGCTCGAACAGCTAAAAAAAATCAGGAATCGTCCGGTTCTAGAGAGAACCGGACGATTCTGCACAGTGACTCGCCGATTCACTGTACGAAATCGGCGAGTCCCGTGAAGAACACGGGCTGCACAGTGTTTTTCATGGGATTCTTTGAAATTTGTCATTTTTTCATCATTTTCCTTGTTTTTTTTGGCATGTGATCTAATTTGCAGGCTTTAAACTGCTTTATTCAGCTTTTACACGAATCAAATGGTTGAGAAATTTTGTGTTTTTAGATCACGAAACTTGTATTTTTAGGGTTTCCGCCTTTTCTTGTGTTTCATGCCAAATAGGGCATGAAACTATCAAAATTTGTAGGCATTTTGATCGTAAAGTTGTTCATCAAAACCTTTTGTTACGAATTTGTGATAATCGTTGAGAAAAACATAGTTATTTGGAGATTGAAGCCTCCGGTTAACAAAACCAGATAAGAAGTTTTTTTTTTTTTTTCTGCCATCTGATTAATTTCACTGCATATTTTGAAGATAATGAGTTCAATTTGTAGGGTTTTTAATCTTTATTGTGTCTGTTATGATATAACATATTCAATTTTATGTAATTTGGTCAATTACAGCATGAATTTTTAGATGAACACAGAGATGTCTGTGGAAACAAATTTTTGCTGTTTTTTTTTTTTTTCCGCCTTTCAATTTTTTGTTCATGATATATTAGAAATAATGTGTTAGATTTCTCGCGTTTTTAATCATTATAGTGTTGTTTATAATTAGATGTATTCAATTTGATCTGATTTATTCAATTTAAGCTTCATTTTTTAGATTCAATGACTGTGCGTTTTTTTTTTTTGCTCAATTTAATCGATTTGATTTGATTTATTGATGATAATGTGTTCAAAATTTAGGGTTTTGATTCCTTATATTGTTGTTTATCAGAAAATGTACTCAATTGGATGAAATTTATTCCCTTAGAGGTGGATTTTTGAGTTAAAATGGCTTATGTAAGATAGCCTAGTGAAGAACAGAATTTTTTTATTTTATTTTTATTTTTATTTTTTGTAATCCATGATCGAATTTTTTGTAATACTTGATCGATTTTTTTGTAATCCATGATCGAATTTTTTTTTTTTGTAACCCATGATAGAATTTTTTGTAATCCATGATCGAATTTTTTGTAATCCATGATCGAAATGTTTGTTTTTTTTTTGTAATCCATGATCGAATTTTTTTTTTTTTTTTTTTGTTAACCCATGATAGAATTTTTTTTTTTTGTTAACCCATGATAGAATTTTTTGTAATCCATGATCGAATTTTTTGTAATCCATGATCGAAATGTTTGTTTTTTTTTTTGTAATCCATGATCGAAATGTTTGTTTTTTTTTTGTAATCCATGATCGAAGTTTTTGTTTTTGTTTTTGTTTTTTGTTAACCCATGATAGAGTTTTTTGTAATCCATGATCGAATTGTTTTTTCTTTTTTGTAATCCACAATCGAATTTTTTGTTTTTTTTGTTTTTTTTTTGTAATCCATTATCGAATTTTATGTAATCCATGATCGAATTTTTTGTAATCCATGATCGAATTTTTTCTAATCCATGATCGAATTTTTTGTAATCCATGATTGAATTCTTTGAAAATTTGTGATTTTTTTTTTTTAATCCACGATCGAATTTTTTAAAAATTTGTTTTTTTTTCTTTTAATCCATGATCGAATTTTTTTTTGTAATCCATGATCGAATGTTTTGAAAATTTGCTGTACTTTTTTTTTTTATTTCTTTTTATTCATGAGCGAATTTTTTGAAAAATGATGATTTTTCGAAAAGATGTGAAAATCGTGATAAGGTTTTGATTATCATGATGTATTCAACCCAATTTTTAATTTTTATTGTTTGAGTTTCCTGTACTTTTTTTTTTTTTTTTCATGATCGAATTTTTTGAAAAATAATGATTTTCCGAAAAGATGTGAAAATCGTGATAAGGTTTTGATTATCATGATGTATTAAACCCATTTTTTAATTTTTATTGTTTAAGTTTGTTGTACTTTTATTTTTATTTTTATTTTTCCATGATCGATTTTTTTGAAAAATGATGATTTTTCGAAAAGATGTGAAAATCGTGACAAGGTTTTAATTATCATGAGGTATTAAACCATATTTTAAATTTTTATTGTTAAAGTTTTTGTTGAAAAAATTGTATGTTGATAGATTATTTATGCAAAAAAATGCATTTTATTATATTTTTAAAGCAAAACTGTATTTTTTTTATCTGTTGTTAATGCATTTTTTAGTTGGAATGACTAATGTTAGCTGGCTCTGTGAATAATTGTTTTTATTATTAATTTTTTAATGCAAAAAATGTATGTTCTTGATAATTGAGTTCTAGCCATGTTTGGAGCTTGCATTTTGTATTATATTATCCTGAATGTTTGTAATTGATATGTACGAAAATATTATTGTTAATAGAGGTATTTTACAATAACAAATATGACTACATGAGCTACCCCAACATATTATCACTACACATGGTGATTATTTTTCTTGTTGAACTGTCAGGTTAATTTTATACTTTTTACATCTTAAAACAGTTGAATCATGTCAAGATCTGCAGAAGACCCTGCATGGCAACATGGGTCAGACTTGATCCCAACAAAAAAGACAAAATTATTTGTAATTACTGTCAAAGAGTGATAAGTAGTGGGGTACATAGGTTCAAGCAATACTTGGCAGGGGTTAAGGGAGATGTTTCTGCATGTATTAGTGTCCTTGTAATGTAAAAAAAAACAGATGGAGGCAATTCTTAATGCTAACAAAGGTAAAAAAATTGCCAAACATAGGATGAATGAGGAGATAGCTAGTTTATATACGCCATCAAGCAAGAATACAGGAGAGCAATATAATAATGACCTAGAAGAACAATATAATAATGAGCTGGACAAGGCCACAAGATTGAGTTTACATGAACAATATCAGAGGGAATGTGGGTTTAGAATGCCCGGTGAGTTTAGCTCAGACATGCATGGTGGGCCTAGCTCAGACATGCATGGCAGGCCCAGCTCGAGCATGTATGGCGGGCCCAGCTCAAATATGTATGGAGGGGTTGGTGGCAATATGTATCAAAGAGAATCAGATGTTGAAGAAATTGTTTCTAGGTTACCTACGAGTGCCAATATTGCAGGTCATAGTCGTAAAGACCCATTTCTCTCAAAGCCTAAGTCACAACAGATGACCCTAAAAGGAATGGTTAAAGGTACAAGAAACATGTTGGGGAGATATGTTAGTAAATGGTTCTACCATAAAGGGATTCCCTTTGATGCAGCCAATAGCCCATATTTTCCACCTATGGTCAGTGCAATCCAGAGAGTCGGGCCCAGGGTAAAACTCCCGACGACATATGAGCTCAGTGGGCCAATATTAGATGAAGAGGTGGAAGAAGTTACAAAGTGGATTGAAGAATATAAACAGAGTTGGCCAAGGACAGGCATTACTCTCATGAGTGATAGTTGGTTGAATAAAGTTAGCAAAAAGGAGTTTTTAAACTTCTTAGCTTATTCTCCAAAAGGTACAGCTTTTTTGTCTAGCAAAGAAGTATCAGGGACGAAGAATGATGCAAACTTCTACGTACGACTATATGATCAGATAGTGGAGGAGGTGGGATAAACATGTAGTCCAATTTATTACGGACAATGCGCGTGCATGTGTTTCTGCGGGCAGTAAGTTGATGGATACATATAGTATGGACCACGTGTGCTACACACAACATCGATCTTATGTTAGAGGAGATCGGTGAGATCAAAATTGTGAAGGAGACTCTAGAGGAAGCAAGGTTGGTGTCGAGATTTATATACAACCACTCTAAAATTTTATTTCTGTTTAGAGAACACTCTAAGAAAAAATAGATAATCAGGCCTACCATAACCCCCTTTGCGACCAATTACTTAGCTGTGGACTCCATTCGAAAATCTGAAGGTGCATTAAAGAGATTGTTTACCTGTGAAGAGTGGTTAAATGACCTCCTCTCAAAGTCCAGTACCTGTATAAAAGTGGACAACATAGTCTCAAATAGGCGGTTCTGGTCTCGATGTTCCAGTATTGTAGAGGCCACTGCCCCTTTGGTCACGGTGTTAAGAATGGTGGATGCTGACAAGAAAGCTACCATGGATATCCTTTACGAAGGTATTGAGAGGGTGAAATCAGCTATTGGAGAGAAGTGTAGTTTTGCTAGCAAACTGATCGAGATTATAGAAAGGAGGTGGAACACCAAATTTAGACGTCCAATTCATTATGCAGGTAAATATATATTTATATCATTACAATGTTTCATTTTAAATCATTTTTTTATGAAATTGTAAAGGACATTTTTCTATCTATATATTTTGTAGGTTACTACTTCAACTCAAAATTTTTCTATTTGACACCTGAACATCCCCACAAGATTATAGAAGGGGTCAAATATATTATTGCAAGGTTGGAGAGAAGCCATCAAAACCAAGTAGCAGCAATACAAGAGGTATTATTTAATGTTTGGGTAAGAACTTCATTGAGTTGTTATATTTGTGCGGAATAATGCACTAAAACGTAATATATTTGTTTTAGCTTGCTATGTATAGGGATGCTATGATGGATCCAGGTTATCCCCTCGCTAATATTTTGTTCATTCATATATTTAATCTTATGAATTGTTCTTGCCCTTACAATGTTTTTTGCA